GTGTGTGGGGGGGTATGTTTCTTGGTTTTCAAGGACGCAGAAGTGCGTTACGTTGAGCACGACAGAGGCGGAGAATGTCTCCTTTGCGGATGTGATGCAGGAAGTANGTTGCCAAGCGACGAAAACCCAACCCCGATGGTAAATACCGGGGGGGGGGTGATGTGTGTGGGGGGGTATATTTCTTGGTTTTCAAGGACGCAGAAGTGCGTTACGTTGAGCACGACAGAGGCGGAGAATGTCTCCTTTGCGGATGTGATGCAGGAAGTATTGTTCCTGAGGCAGGTATGGCGTTTCATGTTGCCAGAAGCAGGTATGCCGTGTATTCCTATTCGAGGATAACCAGGGGGCTATTCAGTTGGCGCAGAACCCGATTAGCAACATTAACTCGAAGCACGTCGACGTAAGGCACCACTTCATCAGGGAACTGGTAGGCAGGAAGGAGATTTCGATTTTTCACGTGAAATCAGCGTATCAACATGTTGACTTCCTCACGAAGGCACTTCACGTCGGAGATTTTTTGTTTCATCGTAATTTCGTGATGAGTGTGGGACAGGAACGGTAGATTTGGCTTTACTTGTGTTTGATCAAAGATCTAGGGTGGCATTGTTTTACATTTTTGCCTATGGTCTTCGATTATCGAAAAACTACAACTGGAATGGTTGGGGATGGAAATATATTTCTAGCCCAGAAGGCTATTTTGTTGCAGATTTGAGTTGTGTTTTAGATTATTTTCTCGTGTTTTGGAGTTTCTGAAAGATCATGTAGACATGGCATAGTCACAAGCAGGGGAGGGCTGATAGATATACTTGTAGCAATGCCAAGTGGTTGGTGCTGGATGTTCCGATGGAATGAGGTAGAGCGGAAAACCGGGTGACATGTGTGGTACGTAGAATGGATTCCAGGGATGTGAAAGGTACCCCTGTTGTATACGGCGTCGCCCCCTCAACGGGGCTTGTATGTGTGTATGTGGATGCAGCTAATCACAACAAGTTTTTCTCCTCGGCGCAAGCTCGCCGAGTTGCCGCTACCCTATTCAACACACGTCTTGCGACAAGCTACCCCCAGTTCGGATTATCCTAACAACGCTAACCATCCTGACATGTGATACAGGCCTGGCCCTTCAAAACGCATGCAAAAAAAAAAAAGAGCAGCAGACACGCTCCATCCTTTCCAAACCAGCCGCCAGCACCAGAGCAGCTGCTTCATTGTTCCTTCACCTTTCTTCGCATTGCTTTTGCCGTATCGTTTGCGCCGACAAGCGTAATCATGCCGGCAGACGAGAACCCAACGGATGGACCGAACACGGATGGAGAATAGGGTCCTTAACCGGAGACGGAGAGGGGTGTAGAACAACTAGAGGGAGGAGGGGAACGCCGGATAGGTATAACTCATGCCAACGGCGGAGGTGTTTGGACGGGGTAGGTGTGCTTGTGTGTTTTGCTTTGCATACAGATTGGGCATCATTCCATCAAACATCTGGCGATACGGAGACAACAAGTGGAAAAGATTGACACGTGTTGTGCACTTGGTATAGTCGAAAGGCGCAATACATCCGCCAACTCCCACCAAAGCCAGACGAGCTGCATACCTCTCGTAGTCCGCTAGTCTCTTCTCCCACAGCCCTGGGAACCCCACCATGGTCTCGTGCACATTTCGTCCGTACGTCTGCCAACAGCAGCAGGTTGATTTCGCCCGGGTTGTTGTTTGCGCAGCCGTCGAAGGGACAGTGTAGTAGACTATATCGTACTCTACCTTTGCAATCTCGGCATGTATGTTGGCCGGACTGACCGCACCATTGCAGAACAAGTGAGGGGCGAGAAGGCGGCGGAGAGTGTAGGCGAGCACTTCGGGTTCTGGGGACGGGGCCACTGCTGTTGTGATTAGCAATATGCGTGATCATCCACTCTGTAGCCCCCACACCTCCAAAGCAAGATTTGCTGACTCTCAGCAGAGCGTGATTGAAGGGCGCTTGTGACGGCCGGCATTCCTAAGGCTGAGAAGCAATAGAGAGAGACAAACGTGTATGTCATCTTGCCTCGTCCGGTGGGGCGCATGCGAAAGGTCCCGATGTCCCGACACAAGGATTGCATATGATACGATACCCCCGGACCCACTTCGCAAAGCTCAATAGTGCACAGAGACGACACCATAATCACACTATAATACATGTTTTCGGCAAGTTTTGATGACAGGGTTCCCGCGCCATCATTGTCGACGTCGTCTCTGTTTTAACTGCTGAGTAATCGAGCGTTGAAACTCGGTTCAAGGCGTGTGTTATGCATATCTTAGGAAAGCTATGCACAGCAGTAGGGATGCGTTGTCCAACCTGCCCTGAATCGCATACAAGTTGGAGCCAGTGCGAGACCGATGTGCGCTATTCCACAACACAGCAAATGAGTAACTTTCGGACGTGGAGGACTTCATGAAGATTCTACCCTACATACTACGTTTGTGCAACCATTGGTGTCATAAGCGGTGTTGTCGTCACACGTACCATGTACGAACCTGCTCTTGTATATGCTAGGTGCCGTGGACCACTTCATATCGGAGAAACCTGGATCCAAATGGATGGGTGTGTTCTGGGCCCCACGACCAATCTCACCTTAGGATCGCCGTGTGCCTCCGTCAAGGACAAAGAAAGAACGCCACTCGACAGATCTTCTTCAACTCTTTCCTCGTCCAGGGTCTGTTGTCCTGGGCCTTCGCGACACGCGACCTGGGCGACACATACATAAAACCGGGAGATGATAATGGCATGAAAGTCCATGCCAAATCTTTGACATGGAGGGGACAAAACTACCCCCATCCCCTGTACCAGAACGCCATATATATTGTGCCATAAAACCACCAAACAATTGGCCAGTTTTGGCGGCACCGCAGCAACAGCCACAAGCACGTGCTGAGGCCAACAGACGCCGAAAGGGAGGGCCAGCTCGATAGGGAAGACTGTCTCTACTACCAAAGCCGAAGAGGACGCGCCAATCGGCCGTCTGAGAAAAAAAAAATAATGCTGTATCCCCCGTATCTTTGGTCTCTTCTTGGTCTCCACCCACACATGTCCTGCCTTAGGCCAGTTATTATGGAAAGGATTCCCAACTGGGAATCCCGAAATTACGCCTTTTACGTCCAAACCCCCATGCAGCAGCAGAAGTTCTGCGCACTTGGTTGGAAAAGCACACCAACGCGCTTTGTCAATCAGTACTCGCCTCAGAGAGACCCGTTTGCGATGAAACCTTCGAGGCTGTACGCTTGATTACTGTGCTCTGCCAAAGCTCACAGCAGCAGTGGGCTGTACAGCCTCGGTGGTTTGATAAGGGTCGTGTGAAGCTGGAAAACCGAAAAGAGAAGCTGCAGAAAACGTTCCTCGCGAACGTATATATATATATGTACATACGTCTATTTTACAGGAGTATATATTTTATACTGGAGTATACATGAATATGAGCAGCGCAACACGTTCCGCGCGAACGTAGATATATATACTGTATATCTGACTATATTGTATAGATATTAATGGACATATAATAAAATGAAACAATAACAAAACAAAAATGTATATATATGAATATATACACTAACTATAGGCCCAGACAAACATGAATGAAAAGCATAGAGGTACTAGATCGAGTACACAGCAGTGTGTGGGGGAAAATGAACGATGTACTATTGCTGTATGCTTGGGAACGCGAAATTCATGTTCAAGAACCAATCGGGCGCGACCCACGTCTCAAAGGAAACCGCATATAATATCCACGTGACACCTAAATTATGTACGTACATATAATACGGAATACGGAGGTGCGTACAAAAAACTAAAAAAAAAAAATAGATCGGAACGCGGGCAGAAAACAGAGAGATCTGAGCCCGGAAAAACGGGTGGCCGCGAAAAAGGGCGTTCGTTCGGCAAGTGTGAGAGAAAACACGGATGGGCGAAGAAGAGAGGGGAAGGAAGGAGAGAGGGCATGGGTAGGCCGAGACTGTCGTTTGGCACCTCGAAATGTGTAAGAAACCGGAGGGAAAGTCGAGAAAAATGGAAAACGATTACAGCAGTCAGAGTCTGTCTTATCGAAATCGGAAAAATCTGCTTCCAGGAAAAAAAAATCAAAATCAAAAACAGATTTTCGCCGGGAGGCGAGCCTGCAGTCTTAACGGGAAAGCGATGGTCACCGAGAAAACGCCTACATGATTGGAAAACTTGATGGGGTAGGTGCAGATCGTCACTCGCGCTGCACGTGCCCCCCAGCCTCGTTTTGCAGCGCATTGCCGCTACCAAACCACCACCACAGCGGTCCCCCACGGCACGTGTCAAGTTGAGCCACCTGCCATGGCTGTCAGTCCAACCAGAAGGGCCAAGCGTGCCCATGGGCTGGCCTCCTTCACGAAGAGGGTGTCGAGCCTGTTGGATGCACTGGCCATTTTGGACAACCTCGCAGCGCTCGATGCTCCGTCGAAGAGGAGCCGCAGCACCCTGGTCGCGCGAGAGAGGCGGCCTTTCGAGACCTACATCAAGCCGATGCTGCAAGACCACACGTTCTCGATGCGCTTTCGCATGGAGTACGATGACTTCAGGGTTGGTTCTAGTAGATCACCTGCGACCTGCCCTGCAGAAGAACCAGCAGATGGGGCTGCTGCGCAACGGCGCCATCCCGGTGGAGTACCAGGTCGCGATGACGTTGCGATAGCTCGCGGGGGGGTTCATCTACGAGTGCATGGACGGCCATGTCATCGCGAGGAGTACGGCATACCACGTAACGTCGACCGTGATCAACGCCCTGAATGCCTGTCCGGAGTTGAACTGCAAGTGGCCAGAGGGTGAAGATGCTGCCAGAGCCGCCGAGCTTTTCCGCAACCGCAGCTCTATGGATGTCGTCCGGAAGTGCGTGGGAGCAACGGATGGCTTGTTTGTCCGGATGATCAAGCCGAGCGCGAAGGAGGTCGCAGAGCCCAACTTGTATTACAACGGGCACAAGAAAGGCTTCGGCATGAACTTCCAGGTGTGTATGTGCATACATGTGTAGATTGTTTCCTTGGTCGGCGGCCTATCCTGATGCCAGGTGCGTTTTGCCTGCAAAGCAGCGACGGACCTACATATGCTGCGGGGGTAGAACATCGGTTCAGTACAGCAGTAGTATTCATACATTCCTCCGGGTGCGGTTGTGCACGATACAAGCTCAAACGAAGTGTATTTTTCCACTCCCCAACGCACAGGATTCATCCATCAAAGGGTGCGCACTTTGTAGGTAGCAGTGTTGTTGAGGCGCGTCATGGGCGCACATTTTTGTGCGCAGGCTGGAATGGCCTTAGTGCTACTTTACGACTGCTGTGATGTAAAGTTTGTGGAGGCGCGTGCATGCCGTTCTCCGAACTGAGCGGGCATGTGGACGTGGCGTCCTCCTTCGATGGTTCTCTCCGAAAAAAATCACCTTTGGTTGAGTGTTATTTCACGTACATACATGCTCATGCACACTTCAGGCGGTATGCGACGCCCAGTATCGCATCACGGCCTGGAAGATGAATTGCCCAGGCAGCCAAAACGACCGCACCGCGTTCAACTTTTCGGGGTTCGACAAGCTCTTGGCGGGCTTGCCCGAAGGCCACTTTGTCGTGGGCGACGCCGCCTATGGGGCGTCCGAGCGCGTCGTCGTCCCGTTCCCGGGGACGAGCCTCTCCGCAAGCCAAGACGCGTGCAACTACTACGTGTCTCAGTGCCGGATGGCAATCGAGCAGACCTACGGCATTCTGGTGAGCGTTGTGGGCATGGCAAAAGTTGTAGGTGAGTCCGCGCATGCAATTGGGTGAGTTGGCGTCCTGATGTTAGAGGCAACTCGTGGTAAAGATCCTCGCGATGGGGGAGTGCGTGATGTCTGGTGTGATGTTGTCACAGAGCGCGGCGCATCCGTGCCACCATCTTTTCATTTTGATGTGGGCAATGCATATTCATGTTTGAAGGGAGCAACCGGGGAAGTGCATATGGACCCTACAGCAGTACTACATGTAGTGTCTTTTTTGTTATACCCCTTGTGTGCATATTGTTTTGTGTTCGACCCTCCTTCCTTCGCGCGGCGCTAGACGGCTAGGGAGAGACTGAAATCAAGTAGGACAGGTGCACACGTGCATTGCTGCTGGGATAGTTGAACCGGGAGGGAGGGACAAGGAGGCAGGCCGCCTGAATTTTGAGTTTGGGCTCTGAGTTTGCCAAGATGGTACGTTTTTCCCCTTTGGTCTTGGTTTGCAATGACGGCCTACAGGTCAGGAGATGGGGCATCCTCTGGCGCCCCATGGAGGTTCGCATCGAGAAGTTCGAGCACGTGGTGAACGCCGTCGTTCGCCTGCACAACTTCTGTCGGGATCGAAAGGTGGACGTCCCCACGGAGAACACGGGGTCTGCGATTCCTCCGCCCGAGGTCGCTTTTGACGACGACGGCCTCATCAGCAGCGACTACTTCGAGACCGTTCCAGTGCGTACCGGGCGCCCGGTGAAGGACCAGGCTAAGGCGTCGAAGCCGAGGGAGGCCATCCGCAAGGAGCTGGAGGTGGCCGGCTTGATGAGGCCAGAGCACAACATCGCCAGGAGCCACAAACGCGCAAGTTAGAGTGCTGTCGGAACCTTAAACTTGGCAGAGAGGGAGGGGAGGTCGAGGGCGAGAGCGGGAGTGGGGGGCAAGAGCGGGGTCGGAACCGGCGGCCGACGTGGGGTGTGTGTATCGCGGGGATCGGGGTGAGGGTCATGTGCGGTGGTGTCTGTGTGTTGTGTTGTGTTTTGTTGTGTTGTGCATGTGTGTTTTTCCCCGTGGTTTGAAGGCGGCATTGTTTGGTGGGCGTTTGTTCGTCTTGCGTTTCTTTTTTTTTCTACGTGCTGGGTTAGGATCCGACTAACACGTCCTCCCGCCATCGAAGGTGTTTTTTGTCGAAGCGGTCTACCTCGTATTCGCGGCCCATTATTGAAGTGTCTTTGGGCGTTCGACATGGGACTACATAGCTGTCACCGTACACGGTTTCCTC